TATGTCATTTAATAAAAATTTTGCTTATTTTTGATAAATTACGCTAAAATGTAAAATTACGTAATTTTACGTAAAATTACGCGTAATTTTACGCTAAAAATAAATTACGCGTAATTTTGCATGGTTAATAATAAATGATAATATATTGATAACTACTGTTTTTATAAATTATTTCAAATATATACTATATACAGTATATATTATGTATATTATTTATAATTACAGTATATATTACATTATTGTCCAAAAATATTGTAATTTTAATGGTAACATAGTAAAAATAATGTGGTACATACAAGCAGGCTATACCCTACAAACGGGTCATTACGCATGGTGATGTGTAACTCCTTGACCACACTTCCAACATCGACGGCCTGAAGATTGTACTTGACAATCATTTGCTGTGCAACACCCTCCTGGTTGTTAACCCGACATTTGGACACTTTTCCTGACTCCGGGTCAGTCAAAATAACCACCAGTTTCTCATATTTCAAATATACGGAACCGATACCACTGAACCCACTCGACTCACCGGTCACGTGGAAACACCAGTGATAACCGTCATTGTCGATGGCCGTACACCACACAAAATGGCGATATAATGTCTTTAATGCAGTGGTCCTTTCCACCTCAATGATGTCATTTAACTTGATAAATCCTCGAATTTTATCGTATTCAAAATATTTCGATTGTTTATTTCCCATGTTGGTTAAGTATTTTAATTACTTAAATTTAAATAACCAGACTAAATGTGAAAATTTTTAAATTTTAATATACTGTACTTATAAATGGAGTAGTATACATATTATATTAATATGTATGTTTAACAACATATTTCATAGGCTTCTCAGATATCATTAATTAGTTTAGAGTAGACATAACACTTTTAGAAATACATACTTTTCAAGTTAATCATATTTGTAGTCCATAAAACCTGTAATGTTTATAATAAATTAGTTATATTTTGCCAAGGTCAATAATTTGTTATTTGGCTTTGGATATTTCGAATTATATTTTATATTTAAATAAAATTACTTTATAAAACAAAATATAAGTTTTAAAATGAATTTATTTTATTTTTAATAATGAATACAAACAAAATGATTACTATTATGTAATTTGTTTTAAGTCTAATATTTAAATAAAAATGAATTTATGTTAATTAGAACATCAAATAAAATTTATTATAATATTTAATAGTAATCTTAATTAATTGTTATACAAAACAATTAATCATAAATTCATGAAAATTATAAATATTTATTTGTGCAAAATAATGGTAAATTAAACAAATATAAGCATGGTGATGGTAATTTTAAAAATTAAAATTATGTTTTACAACAAATTATGAATTTTTAATAATGAATTAAACGGTTGTAAATTAATTGTAAATTAAATAATTATAACATGAGCATGTTTGTTTTTGTTTATAATGAGCTAAAAAACATAAAATAATTTATTAATGAAAATATAATGTATAATAAAATTAGTGGTCAATGAAAATGTGGACACTTTTGGCTCAAAACACATCTAATATCTCATAAAAACGTTAAAATACTTGTCGACAAACTTTTAGTAAACTTTCATTACATAAGTATAACTATAATCATAATAATTATGTAAAACTTCATACAATAATGAAAAATATATAATAATTTGTGTCCAAAAATACTCTCATAATATGAATACTAGTCGTACACTAATGGGTGGGTAATAGTACCAAGATCACATCATTTTATTACAATTTATTACAATAATTAAAATAAAAAAGAAATGAAAATATGACGATATCTAAGAGACACGTGGATTCCCAACAACTAAACGGCTGTCCGTCCGGTACACATACGGGCGCCCATACATGGGTGGAACGGTATTACAGGATAATACACCTCTTTTTCTTACGGCCGGCCTTTTTGGGGCCATTACTCGTCTCGGCGTCCGTCAGCTTTCGTTTACGTATTTCTCGCATTAAGTCAAAGAAAACCTATTTTTTAGACAATAGTTAGGAATATGGCTTAAAGTGTACGATAGGGTGGGCGTAGATGTCATACCCGGTCCACATTGAGTCGGGTCTTGGCCGAGGTCTCAATGT